AAGCCTAAACACCCACCTGTTTAGAGTTGCCTTTAATTAGTTGTTAGTGGAACATTGATCAACAAACATTTGACAAAATATGATGTTTATCGCTTGTTTTGCAGTTGCTGACTGTTTTTAAAGGTGTAAAGCACTTTGAACTGACTTGTTGCTGAAATGTGCTGCAGAAATAAACTTGACTTAACACAAAGAAGCAGAAATTGGAAATTAAAAATTGGTTCTCAGCTGCATTGAGACGCATCAGTCACTGTTGCCTTCCAGCAAGAAGGTTCTGGGTTCAAATCCTGGCCTGGAGTCTTTCTGCACAGAGTTTGCACATTTCCGGATTCCTCCTCCTAAAACATGCATGTTGGGTTAACTGGCCTCTCTAAACTGTTCTTAGGTGTGTGTGTGTGCGTGTGCGTGTGTGTTCTTGGTTGTTTGTCCTCTTTGACAGATAGACTACCTAACCAGGGTGTGCCTCTCTTCTCACCCGATGACCGTTGAAGATACAGACCAGATCGCCTGCAAAGGACAGAGTGTGCCGACGACGGATGGAAATTGGTTCTTGGCTTTGAATTCAGCTCCCAACAAAGCATGAAAAGCTTGATGCTGTGTCCTTCACACTCTGCAGTTGGGTTGGGGTTACGTGTTGTGTTCATTTTACTTCTCGCTTCTTTTTCTAATTCTTTAGGGAGATGAACACATATGCAAAGTTAAAAGCACAACATCTAGAAAACCATCAGTCACAAAAGACATTCACTGTGAAGTAATGCAGCAAAACTTTAAACATTTTGCAAGGCGTCCCGTCATTGAACTTTCTGATGGCTGAAGTGAGCTTAAACTTGCACGAGACGTGCATAGCCTTAACATTTTTACTGCATCGTGCATAATGTGTGCATCGTATCAACGTAACTCTATTTGCGAAAGTCGGACATTGCAAATGTGTGTCCTGTAGTGCCGTGAGTGCCGCTGCGTTCTCAGTGGCCTCCCTTTTAAGATGCTTTCTCTTAATATTGGAAATTGCCCATCTGCTTCCTGTAATCTGTTTAGGAAATGCAAGGAGCCGTTTTTATCCATAAGTAGACGTTAATGGCTAAAAGAACACAGGGAAGAACTTGTGCAGGCCTTAAGTGGCGCGATCAAAATTCACTGTTGAAATCTTCTGTCAAATCAGTGAAACAGAAGAAGCTATTGAACAAATCTAGGGATAAAACTTTTTTTTTTTTAGGCTTCTACAAACCCTCCATCTGATTTGCTTAAGTTTTTCTCTCCATTTCGTCCAAACAAGACAACTTCAGTCCCACGGCGGCCTCGTTTCTCTGGAAGAC